CAAACCAGGCCCCGGCCCGGCCCGCCCGGGCCAAAAGGGCCGTCCGGGCCACCCGGGCCACAAGGACCGCCCGGACCACCGGGGCCACCAGGACCATTCGGGCCACAAGGACCGTCCGGGCCACCGGGGCCACAAGGGCCGCCCGGACCACCGGGACCACAAGGACCATCCGGGCCACCCGGGCCACAATGCAAACCAACACATGTGCATGTACCTGTATGCCCACGGCCTTATCCAGTGAACAGGAACGCGTGCTGTGAGGATTGTCACCATGGGCATCCTGGTGGGCCATGCCAGACTGGCTATGGCGGAGTAGACCTATACATTCAGTATGATGGTTACTGTGGAAGGCCTGTGTGCGGCAGTTATGGCGGTGGCAGGAGCTACAATACTAACTATTGTGTTGCCCGCCCTGACTGTTTCAGTGAAGAAAATCCCCAAGACTGCACAGTCATGTGACTTCCCATGTGGAGGATATGGATATGGTGCACTGCAGAATATTGTTGAGGTCAAGTTCATTTGGGTTTGGAGTTTCAGGGACATAAATTAAATATATGTAAATCATCTTAATCCTGGGTCATTTTATGTTTAATTAGCAGCAGTCCAGTGTCGGTGTTGGTTTAGTTTATATTTATAGGAGAAGAAAAGTGATCAATAAAGTTGGTTGTTGATGGTGGTGGAGGACTGAGTCACAATCATGTTATTATTCGTTGTACCTACATTACATGAAGATGAATGAAGTTGCTGCTTGCTACAATTTTCAATGCAATAATAAACGAGTTTCCATTGCACAACTGCTGCACTGCACATGCTTTTTCTTTAGTTACTTCCTAATGTGTGTTAGTTGTTCATTTCATATCATTTAAAATTTTAAAATAAGGGATGCTACTTGGATTATACTCCATAAACACCCTCATCCCAATCTCCACAAGAGGAGTGAGAGGTCCAAGGCCATCATATTTTCCCCAGTCCAATTCTGTGGGGTTAGTTTGACCAATTTCAATTGTTTATATACAACTAAGAGATATATCATTCATCATCGTCTTTGAAAGTGAGAATTATAAGAGATCAATTTAGATATGTGTGTAATGACTTCATGGAAAGCGCTTAATATATAAAAAGGGTATACCACACCACACCACACCACACCATACCTACAATTTTCGTATTTAACTGGATTGATCAGTACCTTTATATTTGTTTTGTTTTCACTCCATTTTCCTAATTCTCCTTTTTATGTTTGTCTGTTAGTTCAACCAACCATGTTGGCTGTCTGTTCAGTTGCTCTTCTTGCTATGCTTAAAAAGAGAGACAAAGGTCAGCGAAAGCCAAAAAGCCCATAATGCTACTAGTCTAAACCAGTTCCATCTAGGCATGGTGCCCAACTTGCTTCTCCAAGTGAAGCCCATGTGGACCAACTTTATACCAAACTAAACAAGTTGAAGCAGAAAAGAAAAAAACATAGAGCAGCTTGGTGAATCAGTCTCTTTAGGTCCCAAACTAAACATGTTCACGGGATACGGATAAGTTTGTTCCCAGTGAAATATTGGAAGCGCCGCGTACTCATAGCAAATAGGAATTCCTCCTATCCTATATCCTGGAATGCACTACTCACAGACCGTGTGAGCAAAACACAGAGGGATAAATGGCTTATCATTTATGCTCTTCACCCTCTTCTCTCTTCCATAACCGCCAAACTCCCTCCCATTCTCTCCCTTCCCCAAGAAGTTTCCGACTGGGAAGCTCTGGTCTTCGCACTCTGAAACTCAGGTTTCCTTCACTCCACTCAAGAACCTCTCTCCAAATAAACCATGTTTCTTTACAAGAACCAGTTGCACAAGAGACCCAGACCCCCACCAATGTTCCAGAAGTTGAAGGCCCTCAACGCCAAAATAGAAATTCTGGGTCTTTGTCCAAAAGCTATATCTGGGTCAACCCCAGCAGCCCCAGAGCTTCGCAGCTCAGGCAGAAATCCTACGATTCCAGGTATGCTTCTTTAGTCAAAGTAGCCGAGTTTTTGAACTCTTGCAGTCCAAGTGAAAATGATGTTTTTGAAGCTTTGAAGGGTTTAGGTGATAGAATCTTGGAACAAGACGCAGTGGTTGTGCTTAATAATATGACCAATCCAGAAAATGCTTTGCTTGCGCTCAAGTACTTTCAGCAGAATTTGAATCCAAAGAGGGAGGTGATTCTCTACAATGTTACTTTGAAAGTGTGTAGGAAGTGTAAGGATTTGGATAGGGCAGAGAAGCTGTTTGATGAATTACTCGAGAGAGGTGTTCAACCTGATAATGTTACCTTTTCTACTATGATTAGTTGTGCTAGGATGTCCTCTTTGCCTGATAAGGCTGTGGAGTGGTTTGAGAAGATGCCCAGTTTTGGGTGTAATCCGGATGATGTTACCTATTCCGCTATGATTGACGCCTATGGGCGTTCCGGTAAGGTTGACATGGCTTTCAGTTTGTATGACCGAGCCAGGACATCGAAATGGCGCATTGATCCAGTGACGTTTTCAACATTGATCAAAATTCACGGGCAGTCCGGGAATTTTGATGGGTGCTTGAATGTGTATGAGGAAATGAAAGCTATAGGGGCTAAGCCAAACCTGGTTATTTATAACACTTTGTTGGATGCTATGGGAAGAGCTAAGAGGCCTTGGCAGGCCAAGAAAATTTACCGAGAGATGATCAACAAGGAGTTTTCACCAAATTGGGTAACCTATGCAGCTCTTTTAAGGGCCTATGGTAGAGCACGCTACGGTGATGATGCTCTTAACATTTATCGAGAGATGAAGGAGAAGGGAATGGAGTTGAATGTAATTCTTTATAATACCCTTTTAGCTATGTGTGCTGATGTTGGTTACGCTGACGAAGCTGTTGAGATTTTTAAAGACATGAAGAGTTCCGAAACTTGGAAGCCTGACAGTTGGACATTTTCATCCATGATTACCATATATTCATGTAGCGGGAAAGTCACAGAGGCAGAGACAATGTTAAATGAGATGTTGGAAGCTGGTTTTCAGCCTAATATCTTTATTTTGACATCACTCATCCAATGCTATGGGAAGGCAAAGCGTACAGATGATGTTGTCAGGATATTCAATCAACTCCTAGAATTGGGCATAACGCCAGATGAGCGCTTCTGTGGTTGTCTCCTGAATGTGATGACTCAAACACCGAAGGAAGAACTTTGTAAGCTTGCCAATTGCATTGAGAGGGCTGATGAAAAGCTTGGGTATGTGGTAAGACTTTTGTTAGAGAAGCAAGACAACAGTGGTAACTTTAAGAAGGAAGCATCAGAACTTTTTAATTCAATTGGTTCCGATGTAAAGAAGGCTTACTGCAATTGCTTGATTGATCTTTGTGTGAACCTCGATCTCTTGGAGAGAGCCTGTGAGCTACTAGACTTGGGGCTTACACTTCAGATATACATAGGCATACAGTCAAGGTCTCAGACCCAGTGGTCTCTGTATCTCAAGGGTCTCTCCCTTGGGGCAGCTCTGACTGCATTACATGTTTGGATTAATGACTTGTCTCGGGTATTAGAATCTGGTGAGGAGCTTCCGCCATTGCTAGGAATTAATACCGGACATGGGAAACATAAGTATTCAGACAAAGGTCTTGCGAGTGTATTTGAATCACATTTGAAGGAATTAAATGCGCCATTCCATGAGGCCCCAGACAAGGCTGGCTGGTTTTTGACGACAAAGGTTGCAGTCAAGTCATGGTTGGAGTCTAGAAGTTCATCGGAATTTGTTGCTGCTTAGGTGTTTGGCTCTTTAGTTTACTGAGAAAGCTTGTCACGCTGATATGTAATGTCAAGAACTGGTATGTGCTGCTTCTCAATTTTCTATTTATATTGTTTATGGAATTTCCTCTCTTGGTGTAGAGAACATTTTTGTACCATTAGATCTCAACCATCCATTAGTCTTATAGAATTAATGAAGTTCTCAAAATCCTTGCATCTACTCAGCGGTAATGTACCTATTTATGCGCTTTGATTTTGTTGAGTAATATTATCAGTAAGATCCTGTTAAATCTGGTTGGGTGAAGTCTAAGACTTGGAAGTAGTGGAAAAAGACCCGTTTGTATGTTAAGAAAGGTTTCCAAATTCACTTTGATAAATGCCTTTTGGAAGTTATTGTATGTAACATGGGAATAACAGGAGGTACAAAACAAGTGCATTGTTCTGTTGTCTTGTTACCATCCAACCTATCGCACAGGCCAATTGGCACTGTTACCTTAGCTTAGATACTTGCATTCTGGGGCTTAGTTCTTCTATTGTCATTCTTGAGATACAGGGCATGCTATTTGCCTGGGAGACGTAGAAAGTTTGTCCGCTACATCTCTTCTGCTTGAAACTGAGGGGCCAAAGCTATTATAATGCTCTTGGCAGTTGACTCAGGTTTCCTGTGTGATTTTAGGCCTCATTGACATTTATTTGGCAGTTGACGGTTAAGTTCAATATTAAACAATAGTTGTAATGCAAGAGGTCGAATCGGCCATGAAAAATATATATGAACAGTCAAATTCCCAATTGCATAACACTAAGCCCCAATATCTGAGGACTAAAGCAACTTAAACGGAAGTATGTTAATACACATAAAAAATTAAAGTAAAACGTGTTTGACTTCATCTGGCAATTCTATATTGGAGTTGACTTTTGACATTGTAATAGAATTATTCCGTTGAGGCTGTGTTACAAATACAATGAACAATCCACAGACCATTGACTTGGAGGTATTTATTTAGATGTTATCATAATGCTGGGAGTGCTTGTTAAGTTCTAGACCCACACCACTAGTTGATTTTGCAAAAGAAAATACCAATATCACACATATTGGGGGAGTAAAAGCTTATAAATTAATTAAAGAAAAATGCTTCATGGCTTGCACGTCAAACTGCCTCCCAGTCCCATGTGAAATGATCAAAGCCAAACACTATAAAAACGACGGAGTCTTTGTTCATTTGTATTGCTCTGCGCACCATGGGAAACTGCTTACATGTTCTGTGCCATCCCCCTCAAGAGAAGATTGAAGTAGTAATCTTTAAGGGTGGAGTACGAGAATTCAAAGCCTCGACACCGATCGAAGAAATCACATCTGGCCCTTACATTGGCTATAAGCTGGTACACCACATCCAGCCGTATATGCCATTGCCACCCAACACCAAGCTAGAACCAGGGGAAGTTTACCATATTGTGCCAAACCTTTCAAGTCTTGGTAAGCCCTTGGTTCCTTCAAAAATAGTTCACCAAGAAAGCTGCAAGAGACAGAAGATTAAGATTGTGGTGACTAGGGAACAGTTGGAGTTGTTGTTGAAGAGCGCAAACAAGTTCCGGTCGCCTAAAGAAATTGGTGTTCAGTCTCCAAAATGGCGGCCTTCTTTGGCCATCATTCCGGAGGTGCACAGTTTTTGAATGGCAGGATTTTTGGTTTTTATATATCTTCCCTTTACCGCCATGGTAATTGTACATTTCAAAGGATATTTAGAGTAGATGTTCTAGGTAACCATAAGAGGGTATTCATGTTTTAGTATTAATCCTTGTTTTGGTTCCAATTAGTTCCTCATGCATAAGGTGATTATATCACAATGTGAAGAACTGCTTTACTAGTTGTATTAATGGACAAGTCATCGAATTTCAAGACTACATGTTGTTGCTAATGTGCCATCGTACTGCATTCTTTCTTGTATGATGTGTTGGGATTGGAAAAACCCATTCCTCAATATATGATTCCCATCTTGTTAAAATGCATTCTTCACTTTCATTTCCAATTCATTTGTTTGATGCCATTCCCAAAACTAGTAAGCAGTAAGTACTATTGATTCTTAATGACAAACCGTAAAATGTATTGGATTTCATTTATGTAGGTTTCAAGCACAGGGAAACACAACTAATCACCAACCTAAAAAATGTACAAACTCGGCTCCCCTTTTGCATTCAGAACCTTTATTTCAATCAGCTATCTCACTGGTGAAACTGTGCTTTCTATATTTACATATTAAAAAATCACACTGATAAAGAATAAATCTTCATATGATCTTCAGTTATCTCCAATGTAAGTTTTCAAGATGCTTTCATTGCCCTGCAGCAATTGCATAAGCCATCAAGTTATTGAGAATGTTCAGATGATCAGGGTTTTGAAAAATCATAATGCTAGAATGAAATCTGAAAAAAGAAACAAAAACTGGAATTGAGGCTCTTCAAAATTTGTCACCCACCGTTTAGAGGAGTTTATATTTCTGTTCTTTTTGTTATCATCCATTTTGGCCGCTGCAGCTTCTTTATCTCTAGCCGCTGCTTCTCTCTTCATTTTCTTAGACTCTACTTCCATGGCTTTTGACAGTGCATCAACCTTTTTCATCAGCATCTGGAACAGTCATATCATGCATTCAGTACATTAATGGGGGGATATAGAGGGGGTCGGGGGCCAAACAGAGTATCTGTCAATCTTACCTTTATTTCTTGATCTTTAGCATTCATATCACCCTCTTTGGCTTCGCAATGCCTCCTTAGATTTAGGACCTCCTTCTGAAGTCTATCATAGAGAAACCCTGAGACCATATCTTCATTGTCACAGCTGGTACTTATCTTGTTGGGCGAGTCCTCGTTGCCACCAGCTTGAGCTTCAATTTCTGCGGCAACCATTCTATCATCATTCTTATTAGTATCATTATTTGCCTTCATTTCTGTGTTCTCCTTTTCCCCAATATCAACAACTTTACTTCTAGATGCCCATAAACTTTTTTTCAACATAAGTTCTCCAGAACCATATTTCTTTCTGAGGCTATTTGATCTTTTTAGCTGTCCAGCTGCATTGCCTGCTTCGTTGTCTGAATTTGGCTGTTGCACTGGAGAGCTTCTAGCAATGGTAGAAGCTCTTGGCTGTGACGTCGATCTCTTTCCTAATCCACCATTGCTTTTCAGAAATCCTAAGAAGTTACTAGATTTTTCTGCTTTTGGGGAAACACATAAATGAGGATTGAAGCTTGAAACATGCTTTAGCCCTTCTTCTAGTGTCTTCAGCCTCAACTTCAACTTTTCCTGATTGAAAAAAGTAATTAAGAAGATTACTCAGTTGAATAAAAAGCAAAGGATTCGGAATGGAGTGACAGGAAGATTGCAAGTATTATGTACTCACCTTGAGTTGTGCTTCAGCTTTAGCTGTTCTATCTGAAATAGCCAGCTTCTCTCTCAACCGTTGCATGTCTGCCTGCATACGCAAAAGAATAATGTCCATAAAAAGTTGCACATACCATTTTCTCATTCATATCCCTGGTAGTAGCATGAGTTGACAAGGAAAATCGTGCATCCCTCATTGGTAGAAAGGGTGAAGGGTATGATTGGATTAGAAACATTGCGGATTATAAAAAAAAGGTTTATTTGGAAATTTCATTTTATTTCCTGGGCAAGAAATACCTGCATTAGTCTTCTCTCTTCCAGCCACTGTTTAACGGGCATAACTTTGTCATTTTCTTCCTTCCACTCATTTGCAATCACAGTTGCTACCCGGTTTGCTGAAACTTTAACTCTTGCCAGCTCTCTTTCCAGACTTCTCTTCTCCTCCTGTGAAATTGAGGAAACCATGGTTATGGTTAGTTCTCAAAGACCAAAATCGTCATAGCAGTAAATATATTTTGTTCTTTTCCTGCAAATCATGATATGTAACCATGAAACATACGTGCAATTCTTCTATCTGTCGTCTGTAGTCACGAATAGCATTGGCTGCAGCCCCACCAGCTAAGATGGCCTCCTCAAGTTCCTGAATGGTTTGGCTAAGCTTTTCAACCTCTAAAACCTTCTGGCGGTTTGTTTTCTCCAGGATTCTGTTTTCCTCCTGCATATCATACGGTATATTAATTGGGTTGAATACTCATACTTGATTTTGTTCAACAAATGAAATAGGATCTGGTGCGGAAAGGCATGCCTGGCAGATCTCAATCTGTCTCTTCAATTCGAAGTTGTGGTTTTGAACCTCTTCAACTATTAGAGCCCTTTCTAGGGCACTTCGGAGTATCCTTTCTGCTTCAAGCAGAGCAGACTCTTTTGACTTGGTGAGACGTTGCAAAGCCTTGTTATCCTCCTGAAGCGCTGCAATCTGAAAAAAGGCCATAAGGGGAGTAAAAATCTTTCCAGTGTGTGCCATCAAATTAATTGAGCCCTCATGCTCATATATATAATTCATTGGTTTTATAGGTGGAAATTTGTTTACCTCGTTCTTATGCATTTTGATTTCAGCCTCAAGAGGAGCGACAACAGATTCGATAGAAGGAGATTCGTCATCCTTTCGATTTGCATGTACCCTTCTAAGAGTTGCTTCTGCAGCGTATTGTGCAGCCAATGCATCTCTCTTGTCATCTGTTAGTTTCTTGATTTCAAGATTCTGCATTTTTTCGTATTTGGTTTTGGACATGAGCATCACAAAGTATCTTTTGATTAGTGAAAGACAGAAGTTGAGGAATATGATATGACAGCCATATAACTAAGGATACCCAAAAATCTCAAGAACCAAACCAAACACATCTACCTTATGCTCCAAAAGACTTTCAGTGACTCTGTGTTTCTCGTCCAACTTCTGTACTTCATTTATGAGCTGGAAAATGTAGTAACAAAAATGAATATAAATAAATATTGAATCCACTTCTCATGACATGAAATTACACGTCCATAAATAAGTTGTTCAGCACGTAGGTACCTCTTCTACAGCCTTATCCTTTAGAACTTCACAAGCTCTCAGAGCCTTGATCTCACCTTGAGCAATCCCTAATTCCCGACTCTTTTCTGCAACAATTGATTTTGAAAAAAACCTACCATTATATCTTTGAAGATATCAAGGCTACTTGCTATGAGGAAGAAACAATCATATACCTACTTGCTTCATGGTCATTTATTTAAAATAATAACAACAGAAAACAGAACAGCCAAAACACTGAATGGTCTTACTTAACCATAAAATCTTCAAATCTATTAACATTTGAGTCCTTTGAGGACAAATAATCCATGTATCTTTTCTTTTTATCCATAGTCTCCATGATTTATTGAACAAAACCCTCAAATAAAATAAACCACTGAATGTACATAAAAATACAAAGAACAAGCAGAAAACTCTCAAGCCATGTCCTTAATATTATTATTACTGAGATAAGGAAAATACTATTACTTACTAATAAAACCAAATGCTCCTATATATTGAACTCAACTCTGTAGCATTCAACATCACGAAAACCAGTGAAAAATGCAGAAACGAAATTAACACTATCCGGAAAGAGGTGCATGTGTGTGTGAGAAAGAGAGAGAGGGACCTGTGAGTAGGTTGTGCATACGGTTGAGCTCTAACACAACAGGGTCTGGATGGACAAGGGAGAGGTCCTCTCCCCCAATCCGTCCAACTCCAAGTTGTTCTTCATGACACACCATTCCCTTTGGTTTGCTTATGTTTTGGAACTTTGGGGATTAAAAGATAGAGAAGGAGCTATAAGTTGAAAAGCTTAATTGGGATTTAATGGGAATTGGAATGTGGGGTTTTAATAAGGATTGGTGTGTGTGAGTTCTAAGGAATTGACCGTAAAGAGTGGGATGGATGATGAGAGATGGACTTCCCTTTCCTTGCTCTGTGTGTGTGTGTGTGTGTGTGTGTGTGTGTGTGTGTGTGTGAGTGTGAAGCAAATTTTGAGAAACGATAAATCTTAGGCCGGCCAAACCGGCTTCTTCAACTCCCCTTCTTCTTCCCTCCTAATTTTGACAGTAACGGTTACTTTGATTTTAAAACTATCTGCATAGTCTATCTTTTGCTCTAAAACTAAATTTAAGGGATTTCTTTGTTTCAAACGTCATTATGATTGATTTGATTTCCAAAGTTGTCAAAACAACATTATCTCCTCAGGCAAGGCTCAAGTTGTCAAAATAAAATTATAAAGTCATTTTTTCCAACTGTTGTGATTTCTGATTGATGGTGACTGCAAATTCACACAGTCGTTTTTTCAATCCATTTGTTTTTCCTACTACGTACCTAATCTATGATTATAATTGCATTTTGGACCGTTTAAGGATTATTGTTTCTAGATAGATAATATATGTACCACAAAAGAGCCAAACGTTTCTCTTGTTTATTCTTTTCAAACATCAACAACGCCCAACACCAAGTCATTAACCACATAAATTAAATTAAATTAAATTAAATTAGAGAAGGAAGAACAGAGGGAGTATTCTATCTATCTATCTATGAGATTAACTGGGATTTTGTTGTTGTTGTTGCTGTTGTTGTTGTCATAAAGCATAACCTTGGTGACAGATGGCAGTTTCCATTGGATTGGTTCTGATATGTAGACCAAAAAGAAAAGCAAAGAGAAAATAGGTAAACAAAGTTGTTGTGTGGACAGTGGAGGAAAGAATATAAACAATTTCTCCTTTGCAAATGATAATAAGTAAGGAATATTATTATTAGCTAGGGTTGTCATGATCTGGATTCTGGATACATATTATTATTGATGAAAGGAATTTGGAAAGGAAAGCTCTTGTTTTGGAGTAATTAAATTGCTTAAGCGCAAAAACTTGCTTAAACCTTGCCACTTTTCATTATCATTAGACAGACAGACGTCACATAGCTTAGGCTCAGGCTCAGGCTTAGGCTCAGGGAGAGAGAGAGAGAGACTCACTCAAATCAAATGAACAAGTTAACGCGTTGTTAATGAAAGTGAAAGGGACCAACTAAAGTGGCTTCAAAGAACAAACAAATTCTCATTCATATACAGAAAACAGAAACAGAAACAGAAACATAAACATAAACAGAGAGAAAAATCACATCTTTGCTTAGAAGTATGATGGAATTTAATATGAGACTGAGACTGAGACAGAGCCATATGGCAGGGCAAACTAAGTTGGATTGGAGCACTTTTTTTGGGTTTGGCCAGGCAACAAAGGGAAAACTCCATCTGTCCACCAACACCAAATCCTAATACAACAAAATTACTCACATATTTAAATGGTTATTGATTCATGATCACTATAGATATATTTTTTAATCTTATGCGAATCATTTTTCAACTGATTTCTTTCTAACTGAGAAGTGACCATGTTTAGCTTTTGAAAGTGATATGAGCAAGTGCGATCAAGCTAAGCATTGAGGGGTTCTCTTTGTCGTGTCTTGTATTCCTTATTGGTTGGACTTTGGAGTAGGTAGATTAATATTCTCATAAGGGATTTAAAGCTACTTTTATTTCCTTAATTAAATGTGGAATTGCGTTCCTTTTTCTTTATGAATTTAGACAAGACTAGTATTATTAGCATAGAGCCAATACAAATTATACAATTGTTATTTTTGTCCTTTATCGTGAATACAATATCATCAAGTGTCAAATAAACCAATTTGATCATATGAAATTGTTGGGTCAAGCTTGTGATATTGCAGATCCAATTTCGGATTGACATATAAACAAAGCCCATATAAAATGTACACCCACCGCGTCTCGCCTCATCTGATCCCAAATAAAGGGAAATGTGTGTTGGCTATCCATATGAATTACTTTTCATCCGATCTGCACCGCAGTTGTTTTGGAATGAATTGGATTAAATCGAAGGCTCACAAGTAGACCTATCAATGCTCGGATTTTGACCAAAATTCTATCCGAATTGGATGTAATTAATAGAAGATGGATCTAGTAGTGGCATAATCCGATAATGCAATTATGTTCCAAATTCGTTTATTCATAAAATTAATTTGACCTAATTCGATTCAATTTGATATAATTTTTTATTTGTTTACTTACTAAATATATAAATGCACTTGTTATTGATATAAATAATTTATTAATTTTTTAGCTCAATGTTTTATATATTAAACATTAAGTCAAATCCCTTAAGCCCAAGTTAACTAACCCAACTTCACATCTAACTAAGGCTAAAGCTAACCCACCATACCTCTCTGCCACTCAAAACCCTACCACTCTCACACATTAAAGCAGCCGCTTCCTTTTATTTTTGGTCAGCATCTCTTGTTCTTCTTGTTCTTGTTCTCTCATTTCTCTCTCTTTGTTTCGGTCGAACTCTCATATCTCTCTCACCTCACTCAACTACAGAATCCATCCGCACTCACCCAAACGCAAACCCCATCCCCACCCCACCTAACCCACAGATTGACTGCTGCAATTTTGAGTTTTTCTTTTTCTTTTTCGTTTCTGGCACACAAGACACCCTCCCAAACCAAATAGAAAATGATGCAAAAGAAATTAGTCCCTTCATCTCTGATCTTTTCTTGATGTTCATCAACACGTTCGTCTTGTTGGATGGATGAACGCGTTGAGAACATGAAGAATGATCAGAGATTAAATAGACCAATTTGGGTTCCTGGCCGTCATGGCATTATCATGTCCCCCGTATATAGTCACTTAAGTAAATCAGCTTTATCATTACATTTACTTGCCGTAGTTAATTTGTTTAGCCTGCCTGCCGGAGTAGATCGAGAGACTGGATCTCCACGGTCTATCAATCCCTAATTCGCGACGCTTTTCTGCAGTAGTGTATTATTAACACAAAAAATAACTATTAAATCTTTGGAAGACATTCTATTTGTTAAGTACCTCTTCTTAGCAAAGGAAATTTGAAAAGTCTTAAATATAAAATCCGCAGAACGATGCATGTTTGGAAACAAATCTATGGGTTACCGTGTGTTTCAATCTCTCGCTTTCCATACTCGTCATCTAATTCACCAATGCTATTGACTGCAATACATAAGAATGAATACTTCCATAGTTAGACCACCGAACAAAGCAAATAGAAACTGAAAATAGAAATGGTTATCTTTTTTTTATTTATACACTATGTTTATGAGACAAGCCCTAATATGTTTCATTTTGAATTCCTTTCTTTTTTTAATAAACAAAAGGCAATATCAACTTAGCCAACCTATTTGTTTATGTAATCTTTTCATGAAACCCGTAACCCACAAAGGAGAAAAACAAAGATGCCATTCCTTTCCTTAGTACTAATCATCATTCCATATGAAAAGTAGCTTATATACTTGAAAAGGGACAGAGTAACCCACCAACCAAAGAAATGAACAAGGAATCTATCTATGTCAAAATAATGGTTTTGAGAGATACAACCATAGGGTTCATATTTCTCAACAAGAACCTAAAGAAAGCAGATACAACCATAAATCTCTCTCTCTCTCTCTCTCTCTCTCTCTCTCTCTCGAGTTGAGAGTTGAGAGTTGAGAGTTGAGAGTTGTGATTGTAATTGAGAAGAAAGCAAGCCATGGCCATTGATGATATCTCACCACAGCTTTTCAAGTACAGATATCATTTTGGCATAGCAATCTTCGTTTCATTAATATGTTCCTTGCTTCTGTATGCAGCCCCTCGGCTTCTATCCATTTTGGGTTACTTTTGGCCTCTCTTTGCCTCCACAACTCTCTTCTTGGTGGCAGTAATCGCCTTTGGTGGTGTTTCTCAGCTGTCAACAGAAACACACGGTCAAACACAAGGTCAAGGAATCATTGATTATGTTGCTGGCAGGCCAGAATACACAAATTAGTTTCTAAGCAGCCTCAGACACACTGTTCTAGCATCCACTGAGCAATGTGAATCTCTTCTATATTCATACCAGTGCATGTATAACAGTATATAGAATGTATAATTAAATTTCAAAGGCAACTAAAATGTAAATTCAGGAAATAATACTTGCAAATTGAAAGGCAGTTGGGTTATACTTTTATTTATTTTCTCTACTTTTGTTGAAATACGTGTGTTAGGTTCACTTTGTCTACAACGAAACAAAAAAATTAATGAAATGTTGTGCGATTTTTTATTTTCCATAAAATTACAAATTTGTCCTTGATCTAACGGAAATTTGGATGAAATCCTTAAGAATTTTACAGTAGGCCTAAATTGGCTATTTAAAAAAAAAATGTGTGTCCTTAATTTACTGAAAATTGATTGGGGCGTAAATTGACAATAGTGAAATAGTTCAAGGGCAAAACTGCATAAAAACTTTTTTCTTAATTTTTAGTTACAATTATTTGGGAAATTTTTAGAGATATGGAAAAGCAAAAAAAAAAAACAGAGGACACTCAGACTCAGCTCAACTGTGGAGGAAGCTGAAGAAGCAACAAGGGTTTAAGCACACTTTCTCCTGTTCTTTCACTGGTACGTAGATTTTTAGCCCAGTTCTAAGCTCTTTTTATGTTTATTTCTCCAATCTGTTAAACCTCTTGCCGCTTTTTTCTTAGCTTTTTTCTGGTTCAGATTTAGTTCTTTTCATTTTTCTTACCTTTATAAGTTTTGGAACAAGTGGAGGATTTGATACGGGAAAGTGGAATACCATATACAATTGTGATGCATTGTGCGTTAGTTGAGGAGCCGACTGGAGTAGATCTCATTTTTGACAAAGGAGACAACATAACGGTATATAATGAAATGGAAGATCAATATTCCCTCTTTGTTGTATGCCTGTGATGTATTGCACTCTCTTTGCTTTTACATATCGAAAAAATCGTATGTGAATAGTATTGAAAAGAACGTTGCTGGAACTAGGTTCTTGATAATTGTGAATGTTTTGTTTCCCCTATAGCAGTAAGTACAAGTGATTCATAACTACAAACCATCTTGAGCTTGAATTTATGTAGCAACTGTTTTATCATTGTAAACCACGTA